ATAGCTGCATCTCTACCACTTGACCCAACTACAAATGATTTGTGCATGAAGAATTAGTCATTTTAAGTAACACTCCTAATGGTAACCGACACTCACTTTGCTTTTGGGGGGTTATGGGATTTTGGTTTTCACTAAGGATGTTTGGGATCTTGTACCTCTTTCAGAACTCTGACCATTAGACTTAGACTATAGGGCTGGGTGTGGGACACATGTCTGTAGTCCCAGCACTTGATAGGGGTATGAGGCATACACTTGTAATCCCAGCACCTGAGAGGCTGGGAGCAGGAAGTTCAAGGCTAGCCTGGGCCACACAGAGGAAACTCTGTCTCTAAAACACCAAAACTAAAGCCAACCGATCAACAACAACAAACTATGAGAAACTGAGGGTTTGGCTCAGTGATAGGCACTTACCTAGTGAGCACTAATAACTATAGCTAAGTAATTACTTTAGATGTAATTTATTTTCTCCCATCTATGTCCTTCAAAATATTGACCTGTAATACAGACAGTATAACACCATGCATTTGTGAAACCATCTGACTTTCTATAGCTTTTTAAAAACATCCATCACCTCAGAATCCCAGGGTCATAATTTCCTCATCTGTAGAATAATTACTTTTTTAAAAAGCTTTGCTGGGCAGTGGTGGTACACACCTTTAACCCCAGCACTCAGGAAGCAGAGGCAGGTGGAAGACAAACAAAAACAACAAAAAAGAAGGCAAGCTTATTTGCATTCATCTCTACACGTGTGTGGGTGGGTGCCTTTGGAGGCCAGAAGATGAGGTCAGATCCCCTTGAGCTGGAGTTACAGGTGGTTAGGAGCTACCAACATGAGTGTTGGGAACTGAATTCTGCTCCTCTTTGCAAGAGCATCAAACATTCTTAACCACTGAGCCATCTGTCCAGCCTCTGATTATTTCTTTCTAGTACAAACTTCACCCTCCTTGAAAGGACTCTGGCCAGCTTGAGCATGGTGAGCCTAGATCTGGCAGGCCTTGCTCTTCGCCCCCATTCCCTCTGCCCTGCTTAAAAGCAAATAAACAAACAAGCAAACAAACAAAAAAAACCCATTAGATTCCTAAAGCTAGCCACCACTGTCTATTTCCTTATTCGGCCACTTCCTCCTCCTGACACACTCCACCAATCAAAAGCTCCATTTGGTTCACCTAATTAACATGCCCAATCAAAATATACCACAGCATCACCACCTTGCCCAGCCAATCTCTTGAATTTTAAAGCTGTAGCAAAGACTAGGGCTGTATTTCAGAATTACAGCACTTACCTGTGAAATGAAGGCTCTGTGAAATGAACCACTAAAAAAAGGGCTGGGGGTGGGGCTGGGGTGGGGTTGGGGGTGGGGGGCTGGGAGAACAGAGTAGAGCACAGGTACATATTTATAATCCCAGCACTCGCGATAATAGGACCTTGTCTCGAAAAATAAAAACAAAAGCAATTAAGATTAGACAAAAACACCTGGCGGTGATGGCGCAGGCCTTTAATCCCAGCACTTGGGAGGCAGAGACAGGCGGATTTCTGAGTTCAAGGCCAGCCTGCTCTACAGACTGAGTTCCAGGACAGCCAGGGCTACACAGAGAAACCCTGTCTCGAAAAACCAAAAAAAAAAAAGAGTAGACAAAAACCTTCTAGAGTGAGTAGTGATCCTGAACCTGTGGGTCGCGAGCCCTTTGGAAATGGAAGACTCTTTTCACAGAGGTGACTTGCCTAAGACCATTGGAAAACAGATATTTATGTTATGACTTGTAACATATAGCTAGCTAGCTATGCAGTAGCAACGAAAATAATGGTTGAGGGTCACTACAACATGATGAACTGTTCGCAGCGTTAGGAAGGTTGAGCACCACTGTTCTAGAGGTTTCCTTTCTAGAGATTAAGGATTTTTATTGATAACTATCCTCAGCGTATCCTCTAAACTGTTTATTTTTTTCTTCACCTCACTTTGTGTCTTTTCTCACCGTAGACTGAGCATGTGCGTGTCCGAATGGCACAACGATACACAACTTTGTTTACTTTGTTCACCCCAACCATAAAGTAATTATCATTGGGACTTCATAACTGCAATTGTACTATTGTTAGGAGGCTATTTTCCGATGATCTTAGGCGACCCCTGTAAAAGGACAGGTCAAGTTGCCGAAGGATCGCGACCCACAGGTTGAGAACCACTATGGGAGCCGGTCTTTTTCTGTAGTAATTTTACTTTGTTTTACAAAAGGCGAACCACGAGCAGAAGTCAGTGAGTTCTCTGTAGTTAAACCAGCTCCTGTGGCTCTCTGCAGGCCCTCTAGACTAATTCTCACAAACACTGGCGTTTGCTAGCAGGAGGGCCTCTTGGCTGCAATCTCAAGATTTCCTCTTCCATGCTCGTCTCCTGTCCACCTTTCCCTGTTTCTTTCTGCTTTTATATTTATTCTTTCTTTTTACTTCATTTCCAAGAAGACACAGCAAAAAAAACTTAAAAGATTCCCTCTGCCGGGAGGTGGTGGTAGTGCAGACATTTAATCCCAGCACTTAGCAGGCAGTGACAGGCAGATCTCTGAGTTAGAGGCTAGCCTGATCTACAAGGGAGTTCCAGGATAGACAGGGATACACAGAGAAATCCTGTCTTGGGGTTGGGGGGGGAAGGAAACCAAACAACCACATCCTCCAAAAAACCCACACCCCAAAGAAAAGCTTATCAAAAAACAATAATAAAGGTGAAAAGATAGTCTCTGAAGCATTTATAAACAGCCCAGGGTGTTTGTTTGTTCTTTTGTTTGTTTACCTGATCTGTTTTCTCTGCTTGAGACATTATGTGGCCTTGGCTGACCCGAACTCACTGTGTAGACCAGGCTGGTCTCAAACTCAAACTTTTAGACAGGGTTTCTCTGTGTAGCTTTGGCTGTCCTGGAACTCACTCTGTAGACCAGGCTGGCCTCGAACTCAGAAACCCGCCTGCCTCTGCTTCCCAAGTGCTGGGATTAAAGGCTTGTGCCACCACTGCCTGTCTGGTCTCAAATTCCTAAAGATTCATCAGCATCTGCCACCTGAGTGCTGAGATTAAAGGTGTGTACCACCACGCCCGGATCAGATTTGCTTTCTTAAAGACAAGGGTGAACTATATTACTTTTAACACATAGCATTTAATATTATATACCTCTTAAAATTCACTTAGGATAAATGCATCCACATTTAACACAATATGAGACAAAAGTTTAAGAGAGGAGAGATGGGGAAGAAATGAAAAAAAAAAAACCCAGAAAGGAAAAGGTTTATTCACCAAGGACCAGGGAACCATCTGATTAGATCCTCTTCTGGATTTGGCTCAGAAAGAGGGAAATAATAATTCTTGCCTAATTAACTAGCATGTAGATTAAAGTGCTTTGTAAACATTAATTAAAGATGCAGGGAGTTAGGTGAGGCCAGTGTGTTATTAGAGAAAAAGTTTTCTTCCCTTTAATCAGGTACTTCTTCTTCCTGGGGAGGACCAAGGTATGATCTCAGGACTGAGGAATTGGACTCAGCCCTGTCAGCTGCCTGAAACCCAGTCATTTGTGTGCCCAGGCACTTCCTTCATTTTCTATTAAATGGGAATAAACACAAACACTTGGGGGACACAGACTGTTGCATGGTTGCCAATCAAGCCACACCAAGCATTACAATGAATTAAGTCCACGCCGCTCGAATTCTCTCTGAGAACATTTGCTTCTGCCCATTTATGAAAGGCTGCCACAATGAACTATTATTATTAGTTATTCAGAAATGTTTCCGGTGGTAAAGGCATTGAAACAATCAACAGGGGCATTTCTTCATTTCTTCAGCCTTGTCTACCTCAGTTAGTCCCTCTCTGTAAAATGACCATAAGAAGCCAAAGGATCTGGCCGGCCCTGGAAATGGCTCATGGGGTTAAGGCACTTACTTGCCCTGAGCCCTGAATTCTATCCCATGTGTTGGAAAGAGAGCCTCCTGAAGGCTGTTCGCTGACCTTCAACTTTTTGAAGCAACTCACACACACATGCACACGTACACGCACGAAGGAATGAATGAGTGGATGGATGGATGGACCAAAAGAAACCAAAGTCCTCCAAAGAGCAAGAAGGATTTTGACATTTTTCACGACGGACAAATGATAAATATTTAAGGAGCTAGCCATGTTTACTCTGCTAAAGGCTCTGTTCAGTGTGCACACGTATGAGAACATCGCATAAGTAACTCACATGTGGGCACCGCTTACAAGTTCATTAAAAATGAGATAAAGCTGGGCGTGGTAGCACACGCCTTTAATCCCAGGCTGCAGATGGACCTCTCTGAATTGGAGGCCAGCCTAGTCTACTACATAGTGAGCTCCTGGCCAGCCAAGGCGACTTAATGAGATCCCTTTTCAAAAAAAGAAAAAACAAACAAACAAACAAAACAAAGAAAGACCTAACCCCACCACCTTCCCAAAACAAAAATAAATAGGGAACAAAGAAAGCATTGTCTAAATGAATTAAATGAAATAATGTATGTGAAGTGTCTTGTTTGAAAGATTTAAGTATTTTGTAAATAACAGCCATTATTATTAAATGAAAGTCTCCTCAGGATAGTGTTGTTGTTGATGCCTGTAATCTCAGAAGTCAGGAGGCTGGGGCAGGAGGATCATGAACTTGAAGCCATCCTACATAATGAAATTCTACTTCAAAAAACAACCACCAGCGGAACTCTTAACGTTGGTGGTGGAGTTGCTGGAGAAGTCCCTTCTTATTCAGGACTTCAAAAGCACATCCGCGTTGCGATTTCACATCGTTCACCCTCAACTCAGTCTCACAAGTTGAAGACCTGAGAGGCACAGCTTTGGGCGCTGGCGCTTTAAGAATCGCGGGGGCGCGCAGACTACCTCTGGCCGGCTGGAGTCCCGTCGCCGGGAACGCGCGGCAGAGGTGCAGAGAGGGCTGGGTGGGGGAGCGCGCGCTGCCGAGAGCGCGCGGCGGGGAGGTGCTGAGCTCCCTGGGGAGCGCGCGCCGAGCAGCCCCGGACGATCGGCGTGCGTGCGTGCACGACTGACTTGCTGGCTGGCGGACGGCGTGAGCCCTGCGGGTCTCAGTCGGCGTGGACACCTGCGACCCGCAGAGGGGACTTGGCTCGGTGAGTTCCGCCCTACTGAGCAGGGACAGGCCGGGCACAGGGCACGGGGTGTGAGGCGCCGCAGCAGCTGTCCGGCTCATCCAGGGCGCCGGGTCCGGGTCTCGGAAATTGGGGAAGTCCTTTGCGCGCAGCTGGGGCGCTGCTGTCGCCGCGGTCAGTGCCACCGGATGGCCTCCATCCCGGGACTTCAGGGATCGCGACGCGTGGCTTTCCACCTCGGGATTTTCCCGAGGGCGGACGCTCAGTGGCTTGTGGCGTGTTGTCTGAGTTGAGTCCCCGACTTTCAGGCTTTGGTCCCTTACCTTTCCTGGAGCCGACTGCGCGTGAGGACCGTGTCTCTTGCGAGGCTGAAACCCGGAGATGGCCAGAGCCACCTGTTAAACCTGAATTCTGCGCGAATCTTTCCGCAGGTTTTCCGTGCCCCCGCCGGTTCCCCGCAGGTAACTAAATCGCGCGGGGAATGTTTTTGTGGGTCTGCCCGGTAAACTGGGACGGTATGATTAGAAAGAACGAATATGTGGGCAATGGGACCGGGCTTAACAAAAGACAGTCAAATAAACTGTAGCTTTTCCCCGAGACGGAAAGTTTCTCAGCATTGTTCTACGGATTCTAAATTTAAGCAACTAACCTCCCTCCCCTAGGCACTTAACCGCAGGACAACTTTTAATTCTTTGCCTGAACCTATTTGGTGCAAAGGAGAAAATGAAGGAGGGAGGGAGTGTGTGTGTGTGTGTGTGTGTGTGTGTGTGTGTGTGTGTGTTTCTCCCTAAACAGGGTAAAACTTTCAAGTCCTCTTGTGGGAAGATTCCTTCTGGCTCCAGTTTTAATAGAGAACAACAACAAAAAGCTTTGTCCTAGAGCGATCTAGAAATACCAAACCAGGTATTAAGTGTAAACTCGGGGAAAGTGCTTGCAGGACAGACTTTTATGAAAAATAATTTTCTGTGAGGTGCTCCAGTGTGTGCTAAAACTTTGCCCTCGTATTCCATGCCTGAATGTTCCAGATTGTTTTTCTAGGTGGAGGAGGTACTTTCGTTAGTTCGGCCAATGTGGAAATACAAACAAATGCCCTATTTACTTGGGGTTGGGTGGGAAGGGTGGAAGTCAGGCTAAGATCTTTCTTGCCAGGCTTGACAGTGTATGTATGGAATCTTCTGTATTTTCTTGCCCAGACGAGTAATAGCCTTTTTTTCAGTGACTGGATTGGTTCCTTCTAACAGTGCCTCCAATGAGCTTTTCCTGGAAAATTTTGATGCTGATAATTTTAAAGTACTTTTTTTTTCCTCCACTCATAGAAAACAGAAATTTGAAATTAGAATAAGTGGTAGTTATAAAGATGAGTTGTGTTTTTGAAAATAAAGAGCCTCGTAGTTCTTGCTTGCAGAGGGATGGGCCTGTTTTAACGCAGGCTCGATGTGGCCCTGGGTTCCTTCATCCTTACATTTGTGGTCTGTTTGACCAGCTCCAGTGTGCTGAGCCCTGACTTGCCAGTGCACATGCAGAATTTCTAGATAAAAGCCGTATGGTCCAAACTGATTAAACCCGGATCTGGTAATCCTGCCTTCATCAGTGACTGATGAGACACCTGGCCTCGGCTCCAAGGTTCTGAGACACCTCAGGAGCCTAGAGTTGGCACCTTGTGTTGATCTGAAGATCAGCTCAGGTAACACTAAAGGCAGAACGGAGCATTGAAACCTGCAGGGAGAGTGGACGGCCTGGGCAGAGCAGAACCCAGCACAGGGAATCCTCTGGAACAAAAAGTTCCAGTATATCTTATCTGAGCTATTATGGGGTGGATGCCAATGGCATCCAGGCCCTTTGGTGGGTGTCAGGGGAATCCTAGGAGCATCCCAGAACCTGAGTGCCTTGATGGTCAAGGGCAGCATTTATTTCCTTTGCACTTCTTGGGGTTTCAGTGATGGCTTCCTCATGGGTGTCCTACAGAGATGGTTTTCTGTCCAGTCTCTGACTGCCCCTGAGCATGCTGGGATGGCTTTCTCTTCCCTGATAATGGCCCGAAGTTTCTCCTCTCAGTAAAGCCCTTGCTTCCTCCCAGGGTAACAGCACCAATCTTGATATTTGAGAGAATTTAACGAAAGCTGGTGTTATATTCACGGTCTGTGCAACCTAACATCCTACCTTTCTCGAGCAGAATCGGCTAGGTCTTTATGAAAGCGTGTCACCATACTAGATACCTTAGCACTGGGAAAACTTGATTCTCATTCATCGCCCCCTCCTGCCCCTGGCAGGTTCTCATTTAGCCGGGCTGGTCTTGAACTTGATGCCTGGCAGAGGATCACCTTGAACTTCCAGTCCACCTATCTCTACCTCCCAAGTGCTGAAACGATTCTCATTAAGAAAAAAAAAAGTTTATTACATTTATTTGTGTGTGTGTGTGTGCATATGTGCACATATATGTGCACTACCACAGTGCCCATGTACAGGTCAAAGGACAATTTACACAGATGGGTTCTCTTTTTCCACCATGTAAGCCTCTGGTATAGAATGAAGGTTTGGTGTCAAGCACCTCCACCCACTGAACCATTTCACTTGTCCAGTTACCATTTTTAATATAGTAAAATATAAAGCACATAGTTACGTACATCTTAAAGTCTATTAAAGCCCGACATTAAGTATATTAATAGTGGCCTGTAACCATCACACCTATCTAGCTCTATAACCTTTCCCTCACCCCTCCCCATTAAACAGTCTCTGTTCCCCCTGTGTGGGGAACTGCAATTCATTAGTGGCCCCTGGTGGCCACTAATCTGCTTTCTGTTTTGTTTTTTTTTTTTTTTGGTTTTTCGAGGCAGGGTTTCTCTGTGTAGCCCTGGCTGTCCTGGAACTCACTCTGTAGACCAGGCTGGCCTCGAACTCAGAAATCCACCTGCCTCTGCCTTCCAAGTGCTGGGATTAAAGGCATGCGCCACTACCATCCGGCTTGCTTTCTGTTTCTTGATTTGCCTGTTCTCATACAAATGGATTCTTAAAATATTTGGCCTTTGCGGTTTCAAGATTCATCAGTACCAGTAGCATCCTTTATTGATCTTTTATCCCTCCTTTCTTGTAATACACAGTGTTCCTTCGCACGTATAGGTCACATGTTGCTTGTCAAGGTCATCCTAATGGCATGAAGTAGTCGTTCATTGTGGTTTTGATTTGCAGTTTGCTAATGACAGTGTTGAGAACAGTGCTAGCTGGCAGGGTGTGTGTGTGTGTGTGTGTGTGTGTGTGTGTGTGTGTGTTAGGGAGTATACACACATAAGAGGTCTGTGGGGCAGGGGGCAGGCAGTGTCTAGTGTCTTCCTCAGTCACTCTCCACATCCTTTTCTTTCCCCTTATTGTTTGAGACTGTGTCTCTCACTGAGCCCAGAGCTAGGCTGGCTTGCCCGCTGAGCTCCAGATAGCCACCTGTGTCTTTCTGCTCCAGTCCCTTGTGCTGTGGTTATATGTGTCAATGTGGCCAGCTTTTCTGTGGATGCTGGGCATCTGAACTCAGGTCTTCATGCTTGGCGGGTCCTTTTCTAACTGCAATTTCTTCCCAGCCCTCATCCGCACTGTGTTTGCTCCTGGTCAACCATGGCCTGACAGTATTACTGGAATTCAGTAAGGAGTAAAGGTAGTTTGAAACTGAGAGGGGGCACATTCATGTGGCTTTTATTTCAGCATATTGTTTTGATTGTTCTGTTGTTATTGATCTCTTCCTGCACCTGATTTATTTATAAGTTGAACTCTATCATTGAATATATGCATACACTGGAAAAACATTTTCTATAGGGGTTCAGTGTGAATATACCATTCATTTGTTGAGGTTCTTGGAGAGTGCCGCCTCCAGATAAGCAGAAGGCTGCTGAATACATCTTTATTTATTGTTTTTATTTTGGCTTTATTTATTTATGTGGGAGGAAAGGTGTGAATTCTTTGCCACTACGTACATGCAGAGGTCAAAGGGCAACTTTGGGAGTCAGTTCTTTTCTCTCACTGTGAGCTCCAGGGATTGAACTTGGGTCATCGGGCTTGCTCTGCAAGCACTTTGACAGCTGTTCAGCCATCTTTCTCTACATCATTAGAGAAGTTCTCTCATTAATTCCTTTTGCATTCCTGTGAGCCAGACACCTAAAAGAACAACTCAGAGGTGGCAAGGTTAATTTGGTGTCGGTGCACCTGAGCAGAACATCTGTGCCAGCAGAGTCAGCTGGAGGTGGACAGGAAGCAGAGAAGGAAAGAATGAACGAAGGGTAGAAAGGGGCCTGGGACAAGATACCCACAAGAACTTACCCTTAGCGACCTACTTCCTTTAGCCAGGCCACACCATCTGATGGTCACAGAAACTTCCTAAATAGTCTCACCTGCAGGGAACAAAGCTCCAACACCTGAGCCCTTACAGAGACACTCAACGCCTGTGCAAACTGTGATTCTGTTTTGTTTCAGCTTTTTTACGTCACCAAAACCATGCATGGGACTGCAGTCTGTGGATTGGGTTCTCTTTCAACCCTTTGTTCTGTTGTGGGCTGTTTTGTTTTTCTAGTTTCTCTCTGAGACTGCTTCTCTTTCTCAGGGACCAGTTGTCTGACTAGCACTGTGAAATACTTAATCTTCTGCCTGTCTTAGTTATCTGAAACCCTGGGGTATTCATCTATTTCTTTGGTAGTTTTTATAGACTGTTCTGTCATGGGCTGAGCCCTGAAGTAGTCAATGGGCAGACAAACAGATATGTACAGATTACAAATCTTTATTTTATTCGTCTGTTTGCTTGAGACAGGGTTTCTCAGTGTAGCACAGTCTTGGCTGTCCTGGACTTGCTTTGTAGACCAAGCTGGCCTCGAACTCACAGAGATCCACCGGTTCTGCCTCCCAATTGCTGGGATTAAAGGAATGGGCCACTATGCCAGGTTACAAATGTATTTCTAAAATGGACAGACAAGGAGAGAGAGCCATATCCCATTGTGACACAGGGACTCCTCAACTCGGGCTTCCTCACCAATAGCTGTGTGACCCTGGGGTTACCCTCTCGGAGATTCAGTGACTGGGTTTCCTGTTCTGTGGTTTGGATAGGAGTGTGACCTCTCAGGGCCTCTGTAGACCTTGAGATGCAGGACTCTAGATTACTAGTTATCTTCTGCTTCTCTTTACAAACTCAGTTCTTCACCAATGCTTAAACTAGTTAATTTGGACATATTGATTATAAGCTGGGGTGGGGGTCGAATTTAGACTCGAAGAGTGGCCCTTTGCTGCCTTCAGAAATGGGACATCGCGCCAGGAGGTGGTGGTGCACACCTTTAATCCCAGCACTTGGGAGGCAGAGGCAGGCGGATTTCTGAGTTCGAGAGTTCGAGGCTAGTCTGGTCTACAGAGTAAGTTCCAGGATAGCCAGGGCTACACAGAGAAACCCTGTCTCGAAAAACAAAAAAACAAAACAAAAAAAGGGACATTGGTAGTTTTGGTAAAGCTTCGAAGGACTGAAAGTTTGAGTGAATCCTTAAGTTCCTCTTATGCGGGTCAAGGTGTGTGGCGGTTCTCAGTGCTGGATTCACCTGCAGCACTGCATACATTGGTTATAGTGGGGGAAGCCTGTGATCTCAACACTACAGAAGTAGAGGCAATTGAATCAAAAGTTCAAGGTCATCTTCAGTTACATAGGGAGTCCAAGGCCAGCCTGGGCTACATGAGACTCTGTCTAAACAAAAAAGAAAAAATAAAGAACAAACAAACATAAAAAACCCTCCCTCTCGTGCTCAACACATTGGGAATCATTCTAGAAATTTGGATTAAAGAAAGTAATCTGTGCAATGGTGGCGTATGCCCTTAATCCCAGCACTCTGGAGGCAGGGGCATTTGAATTTCTGTGAGTTCGAGGCCAACCTGGTCTACAAATCGAGTTCCAGGACAGCCAAGACTGTTACACAGAGAAACCCTGTCTCAGATAATAAAAATAAAAAAATAAAAAAATAAAAAAATAAAAAAGAAAGAAAAGAAAGAAAAGAAGATAAACATACTGCTATCAGTATGGACTGATAATAATAACAAGACTCCCACAAATCTCTGGGGGACAAAGGGGAGAGTGAAGAACTGTGGGAGTGAGGCTAACTTGGGAGAGTCGTGCCGTGACCATCTCTTGTGGAGTCCAGCTTTTACCTTGGGCACAAGCCACACAAGGCTCAGGAGTATGGTTGTCATAGTAGATGCTGCTTCCCTGTGGTGTGGACTTTTCCACAGAGCGCTCTAGAGTGAGGAAGGGTGGGTAGAAGTATGGAGACGAGAAGATGCAGTGTCCCGAGCCGGCGAAAGCTCCTGAGAAACATCCAGGAGAATTCTTGGTGCAGAAGTCTTTAAAGGAACTGTGTGGAAGGTAGACAGCCAGAGAGCTGCCCAGGGACCTGCTAAGCCCGATGGCCTTGAACTTGCTAACTCCTGTTTAGTGGAAGTTGCTCTCCGAGTATAGGAGGGAAACAGTGAGAAGCTCTTCAGGCCAACCTTGCTTGCTCTGTGCAAGTCAGACGTCTTTAAACTGTATTCGAGGTCAGTGGGTCAACACCTCCCTCAAACTGCCCCACCCACACCTCATTGACTTGTATTCTGATTTTAGAGGTACTTTCTGTGGAAAAGCTGTTGAAGTCAGCAATAAGTAAACCATACTGGGCATTAGGTGTGGTGGCAGACACCCGTTATCCCAGCTCTGGGAAGGCTGAGCCTGGAGGACCAAAAAAACAAACAACAAACAAACAAAAACCAAAACAAAAAACCAAAACCAAAAAAACCTTAGTTAAATCAGAACTTTGTTTCTGCACTATCTTACAGTATTAACTACAAACCCAGTTTTAAGACCATTTGTGTCGATCACTGGTGATGACTGATACTCAGCTGTGGTTAACCTGTGCACATGGCAACCACCTCTGACTGGACCACTTACCAAGCCTTCCTTTCTCAGCCACAGCAAGAATTTAGCCAGTGACTTTGAAAAGTCTCAGGAAACAAACAAACAAACAAAAAAAACCAAAAAAAGGTCTGGGGCTGTAGCTCAGTGGTAGAGAACTTGCCTGGCCTGCTCAATCCCTTATTCTGCAGAAAAAGAAAACACCGTAAAAAGCCTAGGCTATTCATTTAAAGCTGTGTTTCTTAGCTAGTCTCCTCTCCGTGGGATGTGAGCTGTGAGGTTATTTTCCAAAATGGTTGACTTCAGGTTACAAGCCTGGCTGCTCTGCAGCCAACTGACCCTTTCATTATTTGAATAATTGTCAAACTCCACTCTTGAAGTACTTGAAGGTGCTCTAGTTTTCCTGGAGAGACCAATAGGCAATCCTTCCATTCTGAAAATAGCAACAGCCGAACTGTAGATTAGAATCAAACAGTGTTTTCAACAAACACTGGTGGTCCTTTTTCATAACAAGGAACTAAGGGCCCCTTGCTTAAAGTGGGGCTGGGAACTCTATTCACAGGCCCACATATAAGTGAGTGTTTCAGGAAGTTGTTACTGTGATCTTGTGTGCAGAAAGTCTAGGAAGGAGGAGGAACCTGTGTGCACAGCCCCAGGAAGAGACCTCATTCCCTTCTCTGACAAAGGCTAGCAGTAGTTTTGGAGATGCACTTAAAAAGTCTATGCAAGGACTAAGGATACGTAATAGCCAAACATGCAAAGCCCTGGGTTCTACTCCCAGCAATGCATGAAGAAAAAAGAAAAGCCAGACCCAGCAGGAGGTCTCACATGAGCTTTCCTTGTGGTTCTGATTCAGATCTGTTCGTTTGAGATAAGAGGTAAAGCAGATCACCACCACGGCCAGTCTAACCAGGTGTTATGAATACTCCTATAAACAAACTCCACGGCTGAAAATGTCAGGTGAGAATTTTAAGCTTCCCGGGAACAAAAGGCTTTGTAAAACAAGAAGGTGTCATTATTGCTTCTGAGTTACAGGAACTGTATCTTATCTCGCCAGGCTGCACGTAGTGGGTGCTCGGTAGACTTTTCGGAATAAAAGCTCACAAAATTCTTTCTCAAAAGAATAGCTTAACCATGGGTTTCTTCTGTTTTTTTTTTTTTTTTTCTAACCTTGCCCCTGATATCTAGAAAGAAAATAGGCTTTTTGTATTTTTTCTTTGTTTTGGGGAGTTTTGTTTTTGTTTATTTTGAGTCAGGGTCTTTCTATATAGTTCTGACTGTCATGGAACTCGATACCAGGTTTGGCCTTGAACTCACAGATATCTGCCTGCCTCTGCCTCTGCCTCTGCCTCTGCCTCTGCGTGCTGGGATTAAACCACACCCAGCTAAAATAGGCACCTAAAATGTCAGTTTTTAAAATAAGAGCTGAGTGAAAACTGGCAACACCTGTCTGGGAAAAGACTCCATTGAATTAAGTTTCCCAGGCAGAGTTCGCTCCTGCTAACTAGGCTGTCCTAGGTGAGATTTTCATTATTAGGGACTTCCAATTCTCATCTCTTACTCAGAGATAGTAAACTAGTGAGAAGAAACCTCAGCCCCTGGACAATTACTCCCTGCAGGCTCCTGCTCTGCTTGTTTGCCTCAGTGTAGGCCGTTGGTTACTTTCAAATGATGTGACTTTCACTCCCGTTTTACCTCCTATTAGTAGTTGAAAGTATTAACAACAGGGAATGTTTGAAATTTCTGTTGTTTTTCTACATTGCTTTGAGTGAGTTTTCCTAAAAAACAGAAATCTAAAAGAAAACATACTTGTGCTTTCAAAGATCAAATTAACAGTCATCTTGCCTCTCACTGAGTATCTTTTAGGATTTACAGTCTTCTTCGCTTTTTACATAAAAACATGTCAGACATTAAGAGAATACTGCCAGGCCTGGTGGCACAGGTCTCTAATCCTAGCTACTTGGGAGTCTCGGGGAGGAGGATCACAAGTTCAAGGCTTACCTGAGTGAATTCAAGGCCAGCCTGTCAACGTAGACCTGTCTCAAAAACACATTTTTAAAAAGACTGAGGATGTGGCTCGGGGCTGGGAGCAGTGGTGTGCTTATCTAGCGTGCTTGTGAGAGGTTGAGTTCAAGGCCCAATGCTGTGGGGGAGGGGGGGAGGCTACGGGGAGCCCTGTGTAAGGGAAAGGTGAGGGTCAAGGGTAGAGCTTGTGTGTGTTTTTCTCTGTGTGCATCTGCAGTAACCTTGGGTCCAGTTGTCAGCACTGAAAACAAACAGCAGCATGTCTTCATATAGTAAATCCTGACCTGGAACATCTCTTGCTTCAGCCTCCTCTGGATTTTGAGATTCCGAAGGCCAAGCTTGAAAAGTCTGGTTTCAGGGACTGAAGCTAGTGGTGGTAGAGCCCTTGCCTTGCTTGAACAAGGCTTTGGGGCTCTAGCTTTGAACTCTCATACTGCTCAGAACAAATCAGAAACCCAAGGCCATCTCAGGAAGGTGGAGAGTTTTGGACCAGCCTGAGCTGTGTTCAAGCCGATGTCTCAGAAACAAATCTACTTTTAGGATTTCAGTCCCTCTCCTCAAGAAAGTAAGATGGTTTTAGAGCTTTAAAATGGGTGGTTTTAGCTGGGCACAGTGGTGTATGCCTTTAATCTCAGCATTTAAGAGCCGGAAACAGATCTCCTTGAGATTATACTAACCAAGGCCCTTAGTGAGACCCTATGGTGGTTTGAATGTGCTTGGCCCAGGGAGTGGCACTATTAGGAGGTGTGGCCTTGTTGGAGGAAGTGTATCGCTGTAGGGGTGGGCTTGGAGACCCTCCTCCTAGCTGCCTGAGGACCATCTGCTCCTGCCTTCCTTTGGATGAAGGCTTAGAACTCTCAGGTCCTTCTCCAGTGCCAAGCCTGCCTGGATGCCACCATGTTCCAGCCTAGATGATAATGGACTGAACCTGTAAACCAGCCCCAATTAAATGTTGTCCTTATGAGAGTTGCCTTGGTCATGGTGTTTGTTTACAGCAGTAAAACCCTAAGACAAACCCTGTGTCAGAAAGTATGTATGCTGGGGACGTAGTTAAGTCATGAATATTGATTATATTTGGTGACAAGTTTACCATCCAGAATGTTGTAAACACACACACTTATTTGCAGTGATGGAATATGAACAGCAAGACCAAAAGGATGGGGCAGGCCGGCCAGTGGTGGTGCATGTCTTTAATCTCGGCACTCGGGAGGCAGAGGCAGGCAGATTTTTGAGTTTGAGGCCAGCCTGGTGTACAGAGTGAGTTCCAGGACAGCCAGGGCTACACAGAGAAACTCTGTCTCGAAAAACAAAACAAACAAACAGAGAAACAAAAGGATGGAGCAGAGAGGGCGGTAAGACCTGGAGATTCAGGGAGGAGGGGCTGGAGTGTGGTTCTGTTGATAGAATGATCACCTCAAACGCATGGAGCCCAGGTTCGATCCCAGCACCAAGGAAACTGGGTGTGGCTCGGATGGTGGAGGGAAGAGTTGCAGTTCAAGGCCTTCATGTGGTAGGTACATAGAAAGTTTGAAGCCAGTTTGACGGCTCTGAGACTATATGCCTATAGATGGGTTCCTTGCAGTGTTCATTAGGAGAATACAAAGGCTGCTGCTGGCTTGAGAGCGATACCCCGAGAGCGATCTGGAGTCAGAGAAGGGCTTCGGGAGAACTTGGCAGGTTGCTGGAGGCTGTGGGAATAAGTATTTGTTTTGTGTTTAAGAAAATTTTTGAAAGTAGAAGTTCTTGGAAGAGAATGATTCCTGGGACCAGCTTTTACCTTGCAGTTTGGTTTGGTCCGTTTTGGGCTTGGGGGTGGTTCTGATGGGCAACTTGGGTGTGGAAGGAAGAGGAGGCACATATCTGGCTTGCTGTGGAAAGTCAGACTGCAGTTTTTCTAGGTGAGCTGGGAACTGTGCTCAGAGCTAACCAGTGTTCTGTCTGTAACGACTTAAGTAAAGGTGCTTCGTGGGTGTGGTTTATAATTTATTTTTAATAGAAAAGAAAATAAACTAAGAATGACTATGCTTTTTTTTAATTCTTCAATGTTTTGAATAATGGAAAAGGGTATTGGGAGTCAAGTTTTCTATAAAGAATAGATTAGCCTCTGGGGAATGGTGACCGAATGCCTTGCGTCCCAGCACAGGGGAGGCAAAGGCAAGTGGGTCACTATGAGTGCCAGGCCAGCCTGGTCAACAGATGGAGCGTCAGGCCAGGGCAGCCAGAGCTATCCAGAGAAACCCTGTCTTGAAAAACAAACAAACCGACCCAAAGAATTGATTTATTAAAATGGTAAGCCCAGTGTCATTTCTTCTTCTATTTGTAAACTCCATGTTATAAAACTCATTCTTGTTAACACACATTAGCTGCACACACAGAGGAATTAACACAGCCAAATAGAGACTGTGAACATAGGGTTTCTGTCTTGCTGTAAAACCAACAAAAAGCCTGTCACACAGAAGCCGCTCGGGTGCCTGTTCATAGGAACAAATGTTGTCAGGAGCCACAGTGGCCGCTCTGTGCTTGCTTGTCTCTGTCACTGACTTTCACCATATGGAAATCCCACTCATGGTAATCAGCTGGGACCATTCTAAACAGTGAAACTGTGAAACACTTGCATTTTAATGTCCTTGAAGATCAAGGAAAAAAAAAACCCATATCTTTAAAGAAGTCATTTGGTCATTATGTTACCGTATTCAGATTTTTCAGAACCAAGTAAAAGGTTATTTCTTTGCTAGGCTGTTTTGTGTCCTAGTTTTGGGGAGGCATGTTCTCAAAATCCCCACGAAAAGGAAGGGCCAAGGTCGCCCAAGGGTCCTGCTCTAGTTGGAAGGTGTTTTTCTGTTTATTTAAATCTGTGTTGTCTGTATTCATGTCTTTTCTGTCGTCCGATCTGTTTATTTTTGGTTTTGTCCAAGTTTAAGTTAGGATGAGTTTGGTTTGTTATGTGTCTGTCTCCTTTTCTGACATCACAAGTGCTGACTGCATCCTGGGACCATTCTTCCCCCCCACCCCCAGACAGGGTTTCTCTGTGTAGTTCTGGCTGTTCTGGAACTCACTCTGTAGACCAGGCTAGCCTCAAACTCAGAAATCTACCTGCCTCTGCCTCCCAAGTGCTGGGATTAAAGGCGTGCGCCACCACCGCCCGGCTCCTGGGACCATTCTAACGTCCCTCTTGCCATTTAGCTCGAAATACTTAATTCTAACAGTTTCCAAGTGTTTCTAAGAACTGAGTTCTTAAGGCTTTTTTAAAAAAAGACTTTATATATGTTTATATACATGTCGTGCGTGTGTGTGTGTGTGTGTGTGTGTGTATCCATCCTCTGAGGTCAGGAAAGGTCATAGGATCCTCAAGAGCTGGAGTTCAACATGAGGCCTGAGAACTGAACTCAGGTCTTCTGGAAGAGCAGGAAGCACTCTTAACAGCTGAGCTATCTCTCCAACCCCAGGACTCAGTTCTTATGGCGACATGGGTGGATTCTTCTAGTTATCTTTGTTGGCTTTGTAATACAGTTATATTGTCTTTTGTTTTGTTTTGTTTTTTGTTTTTCGAGACAGGGTTTCTCTGTGTAGTCCTGGCTGTCCTGGAACTTACTCTGTAGACCAGGCTGGCCTTGAACTCAGAAATCCACCTGCCTCTGCCTCCCAAGTGCTGGGATTAAAGGCATGCGCCACCACCGCCCGGCATACAGTTATATTGTCAAAAGAGAGTTTCTTAATGTCAGAATTGAAATGCACTAAGACTTCCTTTGAGACCCAGTATGTCAGCTGTTTTCATCTCTCTTCATAAAATGAAAAGAATGTTTGTCATGTGTGGACAGGATCTGGGTAGGTAGCTCAGGATGCACTTGTATTCTCCTGCCTTCTATCTCAGCCTCCTGAGTACTGAGGTTATAGGGGAGCGCCACCATGCCTGGTCGATGGAATGCATCTTGTGA